CCCCGGCATTGTTGTTGATCAAAGACGATTTTGAGGCAGGAACAGACGCAGACCGGAAGTTTACGTTCTTACCTTTGGCAAGTTTTCTTTCCCGCTTCACTGAGTTTCGAAACCGCCATTGTACCATTTATGACTTGATAAGTTTGATAAAAAGCCGATCATACACTCCAAAAGAAGAAAATTCGACTTTAAGCTGACAATACAACACAGTACTGGTTCATTCATCATGAATAAAGCAGTATTGTATTGTTCTGTATTGTATTGTATTGTCGGTCTCTCTCTGTGCTTAAGCTAACTAAAGCTCCCCAAAAGTGTTCCCTGAACTGTGACAAGAAAGTCGAAACTTTGCAAACCGTTCTCGTTTCAGGGTGACGGTCAAAAACAAGATTATAACCTACAAATTGCAAATAAACTTTGACAATAAAGGGTAGAGAATTTAGCTTGTTTGAAAGCACATTCCCTATTTCCAATTGCCCATAATGCACTGTGTTTCTCCCAAATTTTGCATAAAGTATTGTTGTGAAATAACGCTTGGTTAATGCTTCATTTGCGACTGATAAAGGGGTTTTTCCCGAAACGTCTCTAAAGATGCCACTTAGCACTTTTTGCTAACTTAAACTAAAGCAATTCAATTTAAAGTGATATACAGCAACAACTAGTTTTTATTGTTGTGAAATGCAGAACTACCAAAAGCATTTCACAACAGTAGTTTAAGCGAATGTTTTGGTGCAAACAGAGTGAATTATGGGCAATTGGAAAATAGAGAATGCAAAACAGAGCATTGAAGTTGCTAGTCTCGAAACCCAAACTAATTATGTTATATCATAACGTCATACGAGGAAGAGAATTCAAAATTCAGCAAACAACTGTAAAAAGATTGACTCTTCTCTCCTTAGTTCCTTCCCAATCATGTGCCATAGAAATCTTCAGATCGTAATCGTTGGATCATTCAAGAACAGAATTACCAAACCCGAGCATTTTTATAGTGGCAAACTTTCCGGTTTGTTAAGTTGCTCTCCTAGTAAATTCATAATTCAGTATTCACGGACCCATTAACACATTAAATGGAGGTTTTCACTGTTCGGCGCATGTCTGTATTATTTATTCGCCTGTGCACTCTTTTTGGCCCAGGCCCAGTTTTTCATTGTTTATGAACCAACCGTAAGTAAGTAACCTAATTCCGCATGGAAATAGCCGTAAAATCATCAACCGTAGAATAAATCGTACGGCTTAAGACTAAATTCATTCTGCCACGACTAATTATAGCATGTGATCACTGAATTACATCTGCAAGGGGTTTTTAAAGCGGTAAAATTGATTAGAAGCGAGCAAACGTATTTTGATTTAGAGACATGCGCTGAACCGTGAAACCCTTCCCTTAAACTGCCACTTCACCTTGGCTGTTCTTTCCACCCAACTTGAGGTAAGCATCTTTCTCTTTGTGAAATCATAACCTAGAATTTGAAAGAGACGCAACCTGTCTCTTGCTCTGACATCCGTTAGAAAGAACAAAAAAACAATGAGCAAACGAGCAGGCTCGCCGCTTGCATATGAGGCACGTTAGCTCAGTTTGCCGTCTCCGAGCTTTTTTGAGCGAAATAGAGAAGCTCGCAGTCTAGGAAGATTAGGAAAGATCACAATACCGAAAAGCAATTCGGCGCCGTTCAAAACTTTGTCGAGGTTTTATTTTTATCTGATGTCATTCGAAATTAAGGTGTAGACAAAAGACACCAGTTTTGTAGCTTGCCACCGAGAAAAGTATTTAGATGGTAAATTTGTTCATTACTTAACTGGAATTTTTAGTATGTCTTGTGTTTGTCTCGTGATCATCCATGGCTGGCCATCAGTCAACGAAAAGGTTAGTCAAGGTCAGCCTTCACATATCTTACCTTGTACTAAGTTTCGTTGTTCGCTTTGTGTACCAAAAGAACGGATCTTTACTATACGCACGCTGAAGGAGCGAGGTATACATGCAGGTGAAGGCTTGCTTCCTTTGCCTTTTATCCGATTGCACTTGCCTGTGCATTTCACTGGTAACTTTTTTTGCGATAATCAATTGTACTAATCAACTATGAATTTTGTTGTGAGATACCAGTAGAGGTAAGAATTCCTTTTAACGGGGTAGTTACATGTCATTCGAAGTCACAAAACACAGTACTGTATTCCTTGGAGAGTATCTGAAGTCAACGTTCCTGTAATGGTTGCTACCATTTGTTTGGATGATTCTCTATATTTCCTTTCTGAAATCTGCAAAAGCACTCGCGTGTGAAATCCCGCCAGTAACGCAGACAAGCAAAGCAAATATTGAGCAGCTAAAAATTGAGCAACCTCCCATCAATAATTTGATGGACCACCCTTTTATATATATAATTGTGTCCGACTTGACGATAGCCAAACGTTTAAACTGGGCATTAGCTATTTTAGAGGAATTTTAGATCGTTTTCTCAGTCAGGCAACATTTCAGACGACATTTCTCCAAGTTTAAGGGCTCTGCGTTTTCCCAAACTTCGGATATTCGTCGAAATGTTTCGCAGAAATTTACAGAGTCCAGTATGGAAATGCTATGTTAGTGTGTACTAGGCCTCCGTGGTACACCAATATGGCGGCCAGAAAATAGTGTAACCATCTGGAACTTATCTAGGCGACTGATCATCTGTACTGAACAAATAAGCTTTTACATGAGCACTTTTCCTACTGCTCTAACTTCTAAAAAGGCTAAAAATCATGAGAGAAGTATATACTTTTCGACACTCATCGCGATCGTAGCTTTGTGACGCATCGCCATAACTCTGAAATTCAAAATGCGTTGGTTTCCAAACAAAGCACACGA